ACCGGCCCGCCTGGTGCGTTCCAGCCTGGGTTCGCATTGCATTGCTGCAAAAAACGCATAAAAAGCTAGGAAGCTGAAATTTCGGAAGTATTTTTGCCTGTCAGGTATGGGTTCAGATTCGCTTACTCCTTAACATTGGGAGAATGAAGGATTTGGTCCTACAACTTCTCACCGTGCTAGCATGTAGTATGGTAGTTTTCTAAACTTTACCAAGTATGAGTAGGTCGTATACTATAACCCGGCAAAAAAAACCATCGCAGCAATGAATCCTGTATCTGTACTGCTTTTGTCCAGTATGAATTCGCAAAACTTTATAACTTTTTTAAACTTTTTTTGCCCCGGCTTGTATTGGCCGGTGTTCCCGACCTTCTACGTCGGCTGTTCGAAGTCCTTCAGCCACTGTTTTACACCTACACCCGTTTCTACCTGCTCACCACATTCCCTTCTAATGTTAACGCGACTGCATTAGTAGTTTTTGAATGACAAATTGTACATTGTCCTTTATGGTTTACCTCTTTCCACTACAAAACGTCGTCCAACTCAACACGGACAATCCTATTTGTAATGACGGTGGGGTCTCTACGGCCCTTACTGCTCTTCCTATTTTATAACGTTCGTGAGCACTACTGTTTAAATATTATCAAAGAAGCGACCCCGGAAAGGGCAATTTTCTCTCTCTTTCGGAGATGCTGCCGAGGCTATTGGAACCAAACCGCTAATTCACCGTGCCCGCTACGCAATTTCCATCAACCATGTGATACCAAAGAGGCTTTTATTATTGTATTTAAATTTTATAACAGAAACCTTAACAACCGTGGGGGTCCTTGTGTCTTTGTTTTTCGGTACGTCCTGGTTGTCGAGAATCCAGATCTGGCCTGCTTGGTGCTGCTGTAGCCGCTGCTTTATTGTTCTTGCCCCCTTGTGCTGAAAGTATCAGTTGATCTAGTAACTGCTGCACTGCGTCAGTTCCTTGTTCTTGAACCTGTTGCAACTGCTCCTGTTGCTGTTGCTCGAACTGCACTTGCTGCAACTGTAGTTGTAGCTGCTGTTTCAGCTGCTCTTGTAGCGATAACTGTAGTTGTGGGGTTAATGCGCACCCTTGGTGCTGCCGTTGTTGTTGCTGCTGCTCCTGCTGTTGTTGTAGCAATTGCAGCAAGCTCTGTAGCGCCAGTTGCTTTTGCATTAGCTCTTGCTGCCATCGTTGTCCAAGCTGCTGGAAGAGCAACTTTGGCTGTTTGACGAGCTGATTTTGCTGCTGTAACGATTGCCATTGCTCCTCGATTAGTTGGGGTAGTAGATGAGGATGGAGCCCTATCTGTCGCTCTTTGCTTGCCTGCTTTTCACGGCATTCATGGTGCCAGCGATCTAGTACCATCTGCAGTGAGGTCTGCAGTTGTAGTAGCTGCTGCATTTCGTGCTCCCGTTGCTCCCGCGATTTACCGCTGTGCTCCCAGGAACGAAGCAGTCCAATTTGCTCCAGCTGCTGGCGCTGCAGCAGTAGTTGTCTCAGTTTTAACTGCTGCTCTGCATTCTGCCATTGCAGAATTACGTGTTTAAGTGCGAGTTCTGGTTGCAGTTGCTGATTCTCTTCACCCATCCGCTGCATTGGCGATTAACTGCTGTCTTTCGTGCTAAAATTAATTGAAAAATTAGGCAAATTTTTTACATCAGAAATCAAAGTACTAGGCGCAGTTCTGTCACTGGACTTCTGCATAAATCCAGTAAAAATTAAAGGTTGTGCTGCATATGATTGCAGCGCCATACACGAATGGAACACAGCAGACTGCAGGTGTCCCAGGAAGTGCGTGGAACACAAGAATTGGTGGCGTAGTCGGTTGTAGTTTAACAAGTGGACTTATAATATTGGCTGTGTTTGACCTCTTCCCGCATGCAGGGAGAAAGGGCGCCAACTGGGATGAAAATATTGCATTATAGGGCAGCATGGACCTCCAGCGCGTATGATTATCAGTTTTTTGCATGAAACCCGGTCGTTTTTCTGCTGAATGTTAGTTCATTGGAAAAAATCAAATTTGAGGGAAGTCAGAAGAGGACTGAAAAATTTGCAAAATGCACTCGCTTTTGGGTTTGCTATAAAATCGAGTATTTTTCATGTCTGTTTGCAGAGGATTTCCCTTCCAAATTGAATTAAAATCACACGCGAATACAGAACATCCTTGCGAAGTTTCAGCTTTTCAGCTTGCCTGCTAAGCGAAATAGCTACTTCGTTACAAATATCTTCGAATTACCTTAAGTCGTGGTACAAATGCAAATGGAAACTCAGTTCAGATATGCGATTTCCTATATTAATGATAAATACTCTAACAAAATTTCAGCTGCTTTTTCCGGATAGTTTTCGGATTAGCACAATACTAACTACGAATTTTGACGAGACTGTACAAGCGGTATAAGCGTGCTTGATAGCTGAATTTGAAAACTTTAGCTCATCTATGCACAGAGAATATCTCTACAGACTTTCAGCTTTCCATTTTGTCCAGTTCGCGAAATCATTTCCCGCCAAAGAAATTTGAATATTTTTTGGGGGGTTCGTGCACGACATCTAGCACGTATGAGCGAAGATTTTAATACGGGAAGGTGACGCATGCAGTAGGAATATGGTTCCGAAATTTCAATCTTCTAGCTTTTCTACATTGAAAGAGAACGACAAAGTTCACTCGCATCTGAATACACACACGGACGGATACTCGCTACAGCGCTACAAGCGAGCAAAAACGCATATTGTCGAGAGGTCATCCGTATGTGTGTTCGGAAGCATAAAAAATTGATTTATATAACCCCAATTTGGGCGTAACCATCTTTTGCCGGTTGTAGCCACTGGATAAGTAAGTATTGGGCGTGTCCAGTTTTCTCAGTATTGTGATATATAGCACCGTAAAATTCCTGGTGCAACAGATATTCAGAGTTAATTGCCCTTTGACGATTACCCAGATATAAGATTAAAGAGAACCATCTTATCTCGGTGGATTAAGAATACTGTCTTATTTCGGTAACTAAGGATTATCCAATATCAAAGACAGATAAAATCCCATAACTTGGAAAAAAAAAACACTGTTTATTCAATCACCGGTAATTTGGCAGGGTCGCACCGGAGAGTTTTTTAGGAATCACATTTCCTTCAATTCGCCATTTCGATTTTTGTCTGCTTCATAAATCCGGAAATTTATTAAGTAGTATTATTTGGAAATTACACTTTCCAGATAATTTAATTCAGTTCCTAAGTTACGGAAAAAAATTTGTCTACTTAGCACTTCAGCTGCGTTACAAGATTGCAAGCCTCAAACAAATCCAAAGCTTTGCGCTGTGTCCTGAACTTTAAACTCAGGTTCAAAACCCATATGGCTGATCGGTGTGGAAGCATAGTAATAGCAGCAACCCAGCTTGTTTCTTAAGCAACATTTGAAACAGGAAGCCCTTGGTCCTATTGATAAGTGATTGTTGTTGGCACTTGCTACCACCCGGGGTATTTCCCAGTGCTTCGGCCTTTCATAAACAGTGAATGCGCAGTAGCTTTCAACTTCCTATTAGCATTACTTTCACCATAATTTCCGCAATAACTGGGCCAACATATTTTGCGGGAATGTTCTAAAAATCAATCTTTCATGACGGTCAAAACATTCACCTCAGTTCACGTGCCGTTGTGTTGCTTTGCGTCACTGCTGTAGAACCGGCCATATTCCCTGTTCAAAAAAACAAGTACATGAAAAATTCATACTTTCAAAAACCATATTAACTAAAATACATCGCAGTTTTGCAATTTACGTTTAACGCGGCTTACGGCTTCAACTCGTAAAGAACGAAAAAAAAAAAGAACATACAGTACATGAGCGCTCATAACATAAACTGCTACCATGAGATAGTTGCATACTTCTGAAGAAAATGCTACCACTACTAATAGCAGTTAAGGGACGCAACGACAACTTTATCAACGAATTATTGTTGTTGATACTTGCTACCCGATAGGACCAATTTTTAAATTCCTCAGTCTTTTATAGAGAGCAAATACGAAGGGAGTTTTGACTTTTGATTTCGTTAGTATCATCGTTTATGAATGTAACAGTTGATGACTTGAATTAACCTCATTTACCTCATTACACTCGAATTTGAAAAATTTCATAAATTTCAGTACTGAGTTAAAAGCTAAAAAATCAAAACCCGCTTCATATACACTTTCAACAACAAATAACGAAGGAATCAATTTCTTTTACCAACTTTCCTAGCCTTGCCACCTGTAAATGAAAAGCTTCCCCGGCTCAACAATATCCCCGGTATTTGTATTGCTGAAGGGGTAATTATAAAACTCTCAAAGTTTATCTGCAAATCGCATTTCGACAACAGGGAGCTCTTGAGAAATGTGGACATGAAAAAAGTGAAGAAACTGGACACTCTAGCGCATTGGGGAAATGATTGTTGGCTCAGTGACCTCAGCCTTTCTCGACTTCCCACCAAATCAAGCGCGGGAAGTCGAAAAGTATCTTTAATGAATCGATATCTCACTCATCCAACAATCCTCCGTATGTTTCGGGAAAAAATGTCAAAAATTATCAGTTCCAACAGTCGCACAAGAGGAGGTGTGAACGATGGGAGGGAGAGGGAAAAGGTGACTTTACCAGTACAAAGCATTTTTGACAAGATTTCGCTGTATCGTATTGACCTGTCAAATTATTTTTGCGTGACGGAACAACCATGATTTTTTGAAAGAATGCATTTTTGGAAAATTCTAAATAGATGAGTGAAGGAATTCTCCGTGAATTTCTGGAAAAGTACCCGGAGAAAATCATCCATTTTATTATAAATATAGAGACGTTCTGCATATTACTCATTTACTGAAGCGTTTTTTTGTGGTTATTAAAAACATTTTAAATGATAAAACATTTCTTCTTTTTTGGAAATTTGAAAATTTAAAGGTTTAAAATGATTTAAATTAGTTTTTCGAAAAATTACTTTTTAAAGAATACAACGAACTGACAGTAAAGCATGAGAGAAACTACAGACGGAAATATTAAAATATTTTGTACAGCTGCAGTTTATAGTATCGTTCCTTAACTATTTAGCTGGCTGCGGCTTTTCTGTTGCTTTGACCAATGCTGTTTTTCATTTCCTGCTGGTCAGCCTGCTGACCATTCCATGTCTCCCGAAAGAATTAACAGATCACTGAAATCATTATTTTTAGGACCACAAGTACCGTAGGATGAGCATCGGTGGTTCAGTGGTAGAATGCTCGCCTGCCACGCGGGCGGCCCGGGTTCGATTCCCGGCCGATGCACACACTTCTTTTCCTGTCTAATACAACCTGGAAATGCCTTTCTTGAGCAATTTTTATGCATCAAAAAGCTAGATATTTTCAAATACGCAAAAAAAGAAGCGTTTTTGGTACTGCGATTTAGTTCACAGCTACTACTATTTTATTTGTTCAAATTTACCTGGATTGAAAGTCTTAGTGAATTGCAGCTCCGAGAGCAGAGTCCCAAAACTCAAGTTTTTCAACGAAATGCATGCTAAAATCCGTGTGTTTTTTGAAACGAATATCTGCATCGTCAGCAGTTGACCATGTAGCATTTGTCAAAGCAAATGGATAAGTTGTCAGTTGCATAGCTGGAGAATCAAGCTATGAATTGTAGCTGATCGAAGTGTGCCATAGTGTATTTTTTGAAATGGGTGTACTTGTGGATTCAGGCCACATTATGCCAAATTGCTCTTTTTTATTAAAAACTGTAAAATATGAATACTTTCATGCCGCTGAAGCATTTATGAGTGGCTAGTTGTCAGTATCACTGAAGTAAGCGAAATCCCTTGGGCCGGTTGAGCTGCGACTTCCACGTTAGTGATGTAACTGGGATGCAACTGTGCCTTGTCTTCCTGTTTTGTTTTAATCCTTTCGCCTTTAAATGTCTCATCAAGACTGAGAATATCATGATCGTTCGGACAATTGGTGTAAAGAGACAGTGTCGAATAGTAACCCAA